TTCGAAAATACCAGATACTAGTCAATTCTTCGTATGAGTGTCGTTCGTCATAAATTATCTTAGATATAGTAGGTAGGCAGACAGAGACTTCTTAATAAAACTTTTTTTTATAAAACGCCTTTTGCAATACCTTTTTCATCCTGCTAAAATTAGTTGTATAGTTGAATAAGTCACTAATGTAAAAATAGTTATAGCAACCGTTGGTAGCACCAACATCTTATTCCATTATGCTGTTAAGTTTTATCGTGATTGATTTACGTTGCCAATTGTTCCCAACCGTTGTCTCTCCGAGTTCGATTTTTGTCAATATCGAAAAAAAAATGCACAGTTCCGTGAGTAGTAAATTTTTTATCCTCCCGCAACTCTAGTAACTGATACTGTATTATTATTCAGAGATATAAATATTACTTTCAAGAAGAAACATAAGTTTGATTTTTAAAATAGTGCTATTTTTTGATGTGGAAAAATTGATAACCCTAACCTTTAACATTTGTGCCACATAGTCATTGGAGATAGGCATTATTTTGCTATGGTATATTTTATTTTAATTAGAATTCATCGTCACTTTAGCCATAATGTCGTATGATTCCGAAGTCGAGCTCTCATTTATGGCATTCATCCAGGCGACTATTCCCAGACCAGGGACGAATTCCCTATTATTTTCTGTTCTAAAATAAAAACTTTTTTCTGTCCTTACAAGTGTACTGCCGAATATAAGTCCCGAGCCACCCTATCTATTGACTCCGGCATCTATTGACTCCGGTGCGCGGTGGTATCAACGGAACTCTGATTTGCACAATGATTGTGAATTACCCTCTATCTACGAATAAGGAGATGTCTCAACGCTACTTCGATAGAGTAGAAACCCACCCTAACCCGCTAGCGACAATCGCAGCTAACTACGTTCCGATAGCAAACGTCGCGCACTATCTCCGTAGACCGCTAAATGTATTAATAGAACCACCACAACCGCCCGATCCAGTCGACCCAATCGTCGCAGGCACATCACACAATGACACTACACCCACACTAAATGGGACAAACATTATTAGGATTACGAATGGGGCGCGTCGCACCCGTAGACGGGCACGGCGCGTTCCAGCTCACACCGCGCACACACCGTACACCCGCGTTCCTGGGCGGTTCTCACCGCCCAGACCATCGACCGACACGAGCTGAGCAGTCAGAGACGGGGGTCCGCACTCCCCCCTCGGACTGCGGTTAGATAGCTCAAAAACGCCTAACAAGGCGACATGATGAATGGTAACAATACCAAATCATAAACCATTCATCATCATCCTCACCGCATTGCATTTCCCCTTTTTAATTAGATTAGCCCTGAGTCAGACGAAGCTGTAAGAGTCGC